AAAAAAAAAAAACCGGGGGGGCCCTGCACAAGACCCTGGAAGGGTGGCTCGCGAAAAATCCAGCGGCCCCCGTGTGCAGGTTCGTCAATCCGGGGTCGCAGGGAGGAGGGTCTGGAAGGGTGGAAAAAAAAATTAAAAAAAATTGACCCCTGCGGGGGCGGCCAAACGTGGGTTGGATGAGGGCCTGGTTGGGGCGGGCCGTGCGGCCAGGCCGGGTCGAAGCTAGACGGGGCTGCAGATGGCAGACCCCAGGCGGATCAGGGCCTCACGCACTGAAAGGCAGGCGTCGGTTTCATTAATGAGGGCGATGACAGTTCGTCGCTTATTTTAAAACAACACATTCATGGCAATCATAAGTCTGACCCTGTTTGGCATACCAATGTCAAAACACATTGGAAATCAATCACAATGCGGCGAACCACAAGTTTCAAGCAATGATAACAGGCAAGTGTGTCATAGTGTGTGTTCACTCATGAGACTGATGGACATTCATTAGCACATCATTTATGTAAGAACACATTCATTAGCACATCATCCCTATGTCGCATCTGAAATTAACAGCACATTCATAATGGAGGCATCCATGGCATGCAGGTGCGTGGCATCGGAGAAGCACTAATTTGCAACAATCACGACAACAGAGCAGAAAACAATCACCAAACAACAGTGACTCAAATGCAAGACCAATGTTGGCGGAGGAACAAGAACAAGAGCAAATATATGACAAAGCATTTCAATGGAAATGCGTATGTACAAGGCTGAATCCAAAAATTGGACCCGTAGTCTCTGCTACACAACAGAGTAGCAAAACAAAAACTGGACCCGTCGACGGGCGTCGTCTCTATTGTACAACCGAGTAGGAAAAAAAAAATGAAAACCCTAATGTCCACATCCTCTCTAATGAAAACCGAGTACGAATTTTTTTTTTTGAAAACCCTAATGTACAACCAAGTACAAAAAAAAACTGGACCCATCGTCTCTGCTACACAACAGAGTAGCAAAAAAAAATTGGACCCGTCGTCGGGCGTCGTCTGTACTGTACAACCTAGTAGCAAAAAAACACCACGGACGTCGTCATCTCCCACCAGAGCGCGCGCGGCCTCTCCCGGAGGACGTGCGGCCATGCGCTCCTCCCCGGCGCCCTCCTCTCCCTCCGGCACCTGTGCCCCGTGCCCCACTGACGTATGCCGCATGTGCTGCAGCGGCCGCTGCGGCCACCTGTGCCCTGTATCTGCGGGCCACAGTCTCGACCGGCTCGGACTCAGTGTCTGCGTCCTCGTCCTCCTCCGCCTGTGCAGCAATCCCCCTCTCTCTCTCCCTCTGAATCGCGTCCAACGCTGCATGCCCAGCGGCAACCCCTGCATCGAGTCGAGCCTCAACCTCTGAGAGGCCATGCTGTCGTCTCGTCCCGGGACGCATCAACAACCCCTCCTCGCCCAATGTGAACTGCTCTCCCCGCAGCCTGTCCGTGGATGTCCCTGGGGCCTCGAGGACCAATGTCGTCCTCGTCTCCGCTCGTGACAAACCAAGCATGCGGCCTGCCATCTGCAGGCTTGGACGTTCGGACCCGCCCTCTGCAGCCTGCGTCTGAACAGGCGCACGTCCCGTGAAGACGCCCCTCGTGGCGTCGTAATCCGCCCGCAGCCGGTCCCCGACCCGATGAACAGCTGACCATCCGCCACCCACACCTCCTCGGACTGGCGGCGGGGAACCGCCACTGTGCGCAACTCCGGGTGCCACCGTCCGGTCCCCAGTGTCAACCCTGCCCTCCGGAGTCCGTGCGGGCGGTGGAGGCATCGATCCTGCACTATCTCTGCTGCCGTCGCTGCGTCTGCCGGACCCCACCTCACCCGCACCGGACTCCCTCCCTCTAACGTCGCTGAGCGACGAACCCGACCAGTGAGGGCTCTGGACTGTGAACGGCGGCGGTGAATATACCCTCCCAGGGGCCCACTGCTTGCCGCTCTTGCGGCTCAGGTGTGCGAAAGGGTCATCCGTCAACGCATGCGCCAAAGCGTCGGCGTCGAAGAAAGTGTGCGCTGTGCAGTCAGGGCGCATGGGAGGCACTGTGGGGTCCCTCAACACCAAGGCGAGCCTCTACGGATCGTCCTCCGGACCGTGGTCGTCGTCATCGTCGTCGTCCGGTCCATCGTCTCCACCGACACCCGCGGTATCACCATCTCCACCGGGTCCACCCTCTCCTCTGCCGCTCCCTGCGGCACCCTGACCCTCATCACCCACGGTCTCGCTGTCGCCATGGCCCCCACTAGGGGACCCACCGCCCATGACAACATCCTGCCCCTCAAGGACACCCGCGGCGGCATCCTGCCCCTCATAATCGAACTCCCCCTGAACCGCCTCCTCAGGGACACCCGAGTCGTCGAGGTCACAGCTCCCCTCCCCTCCTGTCTCCAAGTCCCTCAGCCGCTCCTCCTCCTCTCGGTCCAAACGGGCATCCCTCTCCTCCTCAGTCTCAACAGGGCCCCGCTCAACGTCCGCATCTGTGCGCACATTCTGCGGTGAAGCACGTCGACGTTCCTCGATACTCAAATCTGCCAAGCTCCCCCCAAGCCCTATGTCCTCGAAGTCCTGTGTGCGGAGCACCGACGGCGAGGGGGGGCGGATACCGGCGTCGGAAGGAGTCCTCTCCCCCCACGATCCTCGCCGTCATGTGTCCGGTCTCTGCCTGCTGCCGACGTCAACCTCTCCGAACGCCTGAGTGGCTCCCCCTCGGGCTGTGTAGAGATCAGATGATGGGAGGGAGAGAAGCGACGATCGCGAAGGGGCACCTGCTCATCCTCGGCCTCCTCCTCGGCCTCGCTGTCGCTCCTAACCTCCCAAGGCCTGCCTGTCTGCCAAAGACCTCCCTGTGGTTGCTGCTCCCATCAGTCATCCACGCGAACCTCCGCATGCGAACGTCCTCCATGACCACCGCTGGCTCTGCTGCTGCCACTCGCCGGCGCGGTCGACGGCACAGCACTAGTGATAACTGATATGAATGAATTTGTGCCGTCACGACCCCCACCGTAAGTGAAGTACACTCGCTCAGCCATTGGGTCGCGACTCAGCGGCGTGTCATCATCGTCAGTCCAGTCGTCGTCGATGTCGTCGTCTGCCGCAGCAGCGTCCACATCATCCCCACCCTCCAGCCACGGTCGCAGCTTCGTCACTCTGCTGCCGAACACGTCCCGAACCGAACGGGCTCTGGACGGTCGGCTGTCACGGAAAGCGACAATCTGCCGCTGGATCTCCTGCTCGGGAACACTGCCATCTGGTCGCGCTCCCCACACCTCGGGCTCCACATCTCCCTCCTCATCCTCCTCCTTTGCCGCCGTCCCCCCCCGACCGCTCCCGTTAACCCATGGCAACACGTAGCCACCACCCTGCCGTGCGCACGAGGCCAGTTTGAGATTGGTGGCAATCTCAACCAGCTGTGCAAGCTTGGCGAACCCAAGCTTGCAGCGCCTCGCCGTGCTGACGCGCTCGTGCTCTGCCCAGTTCCTCTCCGCTGGAGAGGCAGACGTCCATAAGTGCATGACACGGATGGTGATGGTGCGCAACTCCGGGTGGGCACGTCCATGCTCGAACCACCATGCTGCACATCGCTCGGTCTCGCTGTCCCCCCTGCAATCTGCCGCCTTGGCATCGGAGGGCTCACGATCTCCCCAATCCCCTCGCCTCGAGTGGAACGCCCTCATCTGGTCCCTCACGTTCCTGTACAATAACCCGACCGGATCGCCGTCGGTCTGCACCAGGAGAAATCTGTCGCACCCCTCGACCACAAGGCGGTCGTCGGCGGTCGTCTGCAGTGAATGGTAATACGTGAGGGACCGTCGGCGAGGGTTGAGGAGGTGGGCCACGACATGTGCAGGCTCTAGCATGTGGAGGTTGCGGATGGCAACCTCACGCACGCACGGCTCGATCATGTCCGTGGGCACATCAACCCTCCTCATCAACTGCGTAGATGATGACTCCACTCGTAAACGATAGACATCATCATCCCACCTCTATCCATCCTGCGCAACAGCTGGTGGACGGGCGACATGACTAGGATGGCGTAATGGACACGCTGCAAAAACTCCCCGTCCCGGATCTGCTGTTGCACCCACTACGCCTGAGATACGTGGGCGCGATCCCATGGGATGCGTGCCCAATCGTCCCCGTGCAACATGCTCTCCAACGCGTCTCGTCGGCCTTTGAGACACGTCAGCATCAGGAAAACCGATGCAAACCGTGTCTCAACGGGCTTGACGAGCTGAACGCGAGGGCTCACCTTCCTAAACAGGGCGTGAGTAGCGCCGTGCGATTTAATAAATCGCACAAGCGCTCGAGCGCGGATGACGGTCTCCTTGACCCACACCACTCGCGTCCCGATATCTGACAACATCAAGTTGCAGACATGGGTGGAGCAGGGGAGCCAAGTGATCCTCCTGATGTCAGGCTCGGGGTCTGTGGCGAACCTGCGCGCTGCCGCCGTATAGTTACTAGCGGAATCTGTGCAGAAGCCGATCACGTCCTTTGCAGGAAAGGATAAGATGATGGCCCGCCACCTACGGTACACGACGTCCGTCGTGTCTCGGACCGACCCGTCACGTGCGACGGTGGCGTACAGCAGGGCGCCATTGGCGCCCCCGGCCAGGAAGTTCACGAGCGGCTTGCCGCTGCGCGACTTCCTCCCGTCGAGAAGGATAGTGGCACCACAGTGCCGGAAAGTGGCGCGCACCTCGCTCACCATCGTCGCCACCTTCGCCCTCTGCGAAGGGATACCGGCCCCTGCTGTAACCCTGAAGGAGGGAAACCGGAACTGGATAGAGCGAGGCACTCTCTCTGCTGCCTGCCGCACCCTCTGGAACTCCGGACCACGGAAGGCGTTGAATGGCAACTTCTTCACGTAGATCCACTGAAGCCACGCGTTATGGAACTCGGCCAACTTCTCCCTGGCGTACATCTCGACAATCGTGGTCTGCCAAGCCCTCTTCTCCCGGCCCGTGTCTGGCACCTCGACGCCAGCCTGCCCCACTGTCCTCTTCTCCCTCCTCGCGCGCTCCACCTCACCTCGCGGCGCCCTAGTAGCAGGACCCGCTCCACCGACGCCTCTCGATGTCATCACCACCTCCTCCCCTGGCAGGTTAGGCTCTCCGACTGCCTCGTCTGCCTCGTCTGCAACCGCCCCCTCCCTGGCCCCACCCTCGCGGCCCTCCTCCTCATCGAGGGCGTCCTGAATGTCGTCCCTCTCCGCGTTGTCCATCCGCTGTCTCTGGCCACCCGCGGGCGCTCTCGTGTCCCGTATGCCCTCGTCTGCCATCCACCTCTGCACCCGCTGAGCAGTGGACGGCACAAATCTGTAGTCCGTGCCATTCCAGAGTTCCACGAGAACTCTCATCCCCCCAGCCTTGTAGAACTTCGACTGCGTAAAATGACGCGCGGCCTTCAATGACCCCCCCTGAAACAGGTGGCCGCATAAGTTGCAACGCAACTTTCGGTCCCCGTACACCTTCGACTGGTCCCCGACGTACTGGCCCGCGGTGATGTAGTTCCAAACAATGTTCCCTCGCCTCAACTTCGCCATCTCCTTCTCGGACAGCGGGTCGAATTGGGCACCCCCAGACCCCCCCGCACCGCTGCTCCCTGCACCCCCCGTCATCGCTCCCCGACCAGGATCCAACAAGTCGTGACCTCGATCTTCGATGTCGTCTGACCGTGCTGCACCGTCGATGTAGCATCCCCTCGATGTCGCCGCACCCCGACGCCCCCGCCGCTCCTGCCGCCGTGTCCCGTCGATGTCGCGCCAGGCTATGGTCCACCAGCACCTCGGCCGGCCGCCTGCAACCGGTCCTCCGAGGCGGGCAGCTCACCTCGGCCGCCGTCGGCCGTGATCGGCCTCGATCGACCTCGATCGGCCACGTTCGGCCGCGGCCGGGCACTAAAAACGTCGCGCGCTTGAAAAAGACGTGTGCGGCGATGGCGACGGCCGTGCGGTGGCCGCGGGGCAGAGCGGGGCCGCTATCCCTCGTGCTCGCACGGCGCGTCGCTGCAGGGTGCGCAGGAGGAAGAAGAAGAAGAAGAAGAAGATATCGCTCTCTCTCTCTCTCTTTCTCTCTCTCTCTCTCTCTCTCTCTCTCTCCTGTCTCTTATACACATCTAGATGTGTATAAGAGACAGGCGCTGTCTTCCAGACTCAAGTGGAAGGTTCGGGC